AGAGGGAGAGAAATACACAAGAAAAGAAGTAAAAGCCATGGATGGGAGTAGACTAGAATTATGTAGTACCATAAGGACCCCCTTCCGTCTTTAGTTTTGCTGTAATTTCTTTCCAGAAGGCAGGTTGTACTGGATTCCAGTACTCTTATGTTTTCATCTTGCTATTTCTTTTGTTGTTGTTGTTTCATTTTGCAGTGTTTCCTGGAAAATCAACAGGCTTATTAATAACATCAATTTCTTTTTTTAAAATCAACATTCAATTATTTTCCCAAGTTACAGAATGAAGTGTGTGATAATCTTTTTTAGTATATTATTAATCTTTTTTCTTCCAAGACTTTGAAAGCTATAATCTTTTAAAGTCAGACATTTCATATGTTACATTATAATAAAGCATGGTTTCTAAAATGCAGGTTTCTAGTGCTTTTATATTTTTTTTTAAATTTTATTTTCTCTTCTGTTAATGGCTTCTGGAAAAATGAAAAATAAACATTTTTTGGAGAAAAGGAAATGTTGTGATTTTTTTTTTGGTGGAGGGGGTGGGGTGTTGCTTGTAAAGACTAGCAATAGTCAGAATAGGGTACCTGGTAAAGCCTTCTTATAATCTGTTACTTTTTAATGTATTTTTTCATGCATTTGTGATCTATTTCTTACCCTGTTCCTATTCAACAGCAACCAAAACTAAAGAAAAAGAAAAGCTTCATCGTAAACATTTATAGACTAGCAAATAAATTCCCACATTGTCTATACCTGAAAATCTCTACATCTCTGCATTTTCAGTCTATCACCTCTCTGGTAAGAGGAGAATAGTATGTCTCATCTTTAGTCTTCTGGACTCATGGTTTATCGTTGCATTTGTCAGAGTTGCTTTTCTCTGTAATGTTCTTGTTATATAAAATGTTTGTTTAGTATCAGTTCTATAAAGGTCTTCCCGTTTCCTCTGAAATTTACCCTTTCATCACTTCTCATTTTTACAATAATATTCCATTACATTCATGTGCCATAATTTGTTTAGTCAGTACCCAATAGGAAGATACCCTTCTTAGTTCAGTTTTGGGCTACTATAAAAAGAGCTACCATAAGTATTTTTGTATATAAAAGTCCTTTTCCTCTTTTCTTTGGGGTATACTAAGCCTAGTAGTGGTTTACTTTAGTAGATTATCTACTTATGATACTCTAATTCTTGTGTGAAAAAGGGTACCCTTTGGGTCTTTGAAAACAACTACAACTTGTAGATGAAAAGAGTAAGAGCAACATTCCTTTGACCCCTTTTTTTCTGGATAAAGTTAGGGTTTCTTAAGACTCTAAGGAGTTTGAAGCAATAAAGACCCTCCCCTCCACAAGCAAACTTCGAGTGTATTAGATGGGATTAGTCTGACTACACTATTTTTTTTTGGCTGATCTTTCTGTAATGACTCTTAGTTTTTTTTTTCTGTGCTTCTTGTTTATAGTTTCTTAATTGTATACCTGGTATGAAATCAACCTGGGCATGTATGTCTTTTGATATGTTATTATTGTATTTTCCTTGCTAAAATTTTATTTAAAACTTTTACATCAGTGTTCATTAGGAATATTGGTCTATGTGTAGCTGTCTTTCTCTGTTACACATACACCATTATCTGGTTTGACTTCCTGGTTTAGATATCAAGACCATATTTTTATCAGGAAAGGAATTTAGTAGGATCCTTTTTTTCCCCCAGTTCTTTCAAACAGCTTTTGTAACTTTAAAATGTATTGTTCTTTAAATGTTCAGTAGAATTAGCTTGTAAATCCATCTGGTTCTGGGTTTGTTTTTTTGCTTCGGGAGCCCATTTATGGCTTTTTGATTTCTTTGTCTGAGATTGAGTTGCTTAAACCTTCTATTTCTTATTATGTTAATCTAATATTTTATATTTTTTTTAAATATTCATGTCATCAAAATGATTTACCCAACCTCAGAGTTAGAAGAGACAAGAAATTATGAAGTCTAACCAGTGCCCTAAACAAGAAGCTCCTATTAATATAATATACCAGGCAAGTGATCATCCAATCATTGCCTGAAGATCCCTGGTGACCTCCTAATTTCCAAAGCAGCTTGTTATACTTTTGGATTACTTTTAATTATAAGGAAGTTTTTCCTTAAACCCTAAATTTTCTCCTTTGTAACTTCTGTGAAATGTTATGAGTTCCTCCTTCTGGGACCAAGTAGTGCAAGTCTAATCTTCATTCCAGGATGGCCCTTTGAATACTCAATGACAGTTGTCATACCTTCTAAATCTTTTCTTCTTCAATATAAACATAATTCCTCATTTAATATAAACTCAAGTTCCTTTTACCTTTGTGGTCATCCTCCCTTGGACAAAACTTATCAACGTCTTTACTAAAACATGGTGCTGAGAATTGAGTATTGTAGTTCAGTGATGGTAGAGTATAGTAGGACTGTTATCTCCCTAGTCCTGGAAACTGTATATTCATCTAATTATACTATCCTCTGGCTTATCTATTTCCATTTTCCTCCAATAATTTCATGATTTTATCAAATACTTTTATTAAACTTTAAAAAGTTCTTTGCCTCTGAAAGATCAAGTAGTTATCTATGGCTTACAACTTTTTGCCTGAAACTTCTAGAAAATTTGTAAATAAAATCAGTTGCTCTTATGTTCTTACTCTTCATTGGTTACTTCAATATCTTCCTTAGTATTTCTGCTTAGTACATACTCAAAGGCATTATCTTCTAATCTCTCTATCAGTAACAATTTTGTTGATTTTAAATAGCAGGTTTCAATTGCTTTATCACATTTCCTTTGTACCATGTACAGTTATTTCTGAAGATCCTGTTTATTTTGACATGTAACTACAGATTGCCATTTATAATATTTTGCAGGGTTCAACAAATAGCCTTGATTTTACATAGTAAATGTATTTCAAATTATTTCAATTTTCCTATTGAAAGCTCTTGTAAAAACCCAAATGTTCCATTGGGAAAAATACCTGTTAAATAAATCTGTTAAATGTTTAAAACTTTTGGTAAGGAAAGGGTTAATGTTTGCCTTCATGCCAAGGTAGCATAGAATACATTATGACTGACATTAAAAATGTTTCCAGTGATGCTGCTTCTCTTTGAGTTTCCCATTTCTATACAGTTACTCTGTTACTCATGCTTAAAATTTTAATGTCATCTTTGTCTCCTCCTAGTCCTTCACCCCCTTCATCCAGTCAGTTTCCTATTATTGCTATAATCATAATACATTTATTCTTTTTTCAGTCATGATGTATTTGAAAGAATCACTAGACTCTGGGTTCATGTTCTAGACTTCAACTATCCTTCCTACCAACAAGTCAGTTACTTTCTTTTAAGAGTCATCTTCAGTCACCTGATTTCCGTCCTCTAGAATCTCTACTATTTAATCCATCTTTCACAGTGGCTCCTAGATTAATCATCCTAATGCTTGTATCAGATCATGTCATGGCACTGCTCCAAAATAATTTTTAGGCATCATTGAGACAAAGAATAACAGTTTGGTAACTTTTCTTGCATAATTCAAAATTGTTTCCTAGGTTTATTAGACTTTTCAAATTCACTTAACTCTGTTTACCTCAGTTTGTAAAAGGAGCTAGAGAAGGAAACAGCAAACCACTCTAGCATCTTTGCCAAATGGGGTCACGAAGAGTCAAGACATAAAAACAACTAAACAAAACATCTTTTGTCAACTTTGTTGATTCACTGGGTATGAGTTCAAACCTCAGGACTGTTTTATTTTGCATTTTTCTTGTGATTAGTCATTTAGGGCATTTTTTTGCACATACTTTTTTTTCTTTTAAATATGGTTCGTAGCCATTGACAATTTATGTATTAAATAATGGCCCTTGGTCATATTTTGTTGTTGTCATTTTTCAGTGTTCATATATATTTATGTTCATTTCTTTTTTATCTTGGATGTAACACTTTTATTAGACATTCTTTTCATTTGAGTTATGTTGATTTTGTTTGTACAAAACTTTTATCATTTACTATAATAAGAGTGTGTCTTTTTTAATCTACTTTTTTAGATATTGAATTCTGCCTCTCACCATAGATCTAAAAGATGTGTCCTTCCATTTTCTTCTATATATGACATGGCCTTTATGTTTAAGTTGTTTATTCATTTGGAGTTTATTATCACATGCATACATGTTACATTCAGCCAAAATACTTGACGATTAATATTTAAGTTTATATGAAACAACATATTCAAGATTATAAATTTGAAATTAGGAAAAATAATTTATTTAAATAGGGCTCTTATGTATTTTAAAGTACTTGCAATTTTGGTTAATTTCAAAAAACAGTAGAAACTGACATAAAATGGTTATTTTTTTACCATTTTGTTGTTATAAATGTAGGCTCTCATTAAAATAAATAATGTTCCTGGTTTTTTTTGTTTTTTTTTTTTTTAATTTTTGAACACTGCTTCTCTTGCTGTAATTTGGTGACCCTGAAGCAGAGTTTGGAGTAAAAAGAAGAAACGATGGGGGAAAGAATACCTATTTCTATAATACTATAGAACATATGGGTTAAAGTGTCTTTTCTTGTGGTCTAAAAGCTTCATATTAAGATGTAAACCAAACTCAGCTATGTTTGCTCCTATATGCAATTGTTGGATCTTCTAAAGACCTTTCCATGGCAAATGCTAATTTTACATAAGCAAAGTTCATGGAGGTTAGGTATGTTTAGGAACAGAAGCATTAAACTGGTTTCAGAGAAATAAAAGGAAATATGACAATAATATACATGAGTCATGTGGCCCTACTAGGGCAAGGATAGAAATAAGGTATAAGAGAGAATTCAGCCTAGTGTGGTATTCTTTATAAAGTATTTGTTTGGTGGCCCAAAATTTAACTGAGAATCATAGTCTAGATGCTTTAGAAAATGTATTGATCTTTCCCTAAGTCAAGAATTGCCAGTAGTTCTGTTTATTATAAGAGATATTGATATACTTAATTCCATAATTCAATATATGTACGTTCTTTGTGTTTTACTGCAGCAAAAAAGTGAATAGGTCATGGCACGCTTAACAAAGAGACGACAAGCGGATACAAAAGCTATCCAGCATCTTTGGGCAGCTATTGAGATCATTCGAAACCAGAAGCAAATTGCTAACATTGACCGCATTACAAAGTAAGTAGCATTGCATAGTAAACATTTTAAATGGATTTTTAAACTGTAACAATCTCTTTGTGAACTCGGTAGAAAAAGATTTTTAAAATAAATCAGTATTTACAAACTTCATTTTTATAACATAAGGATATTACATAGAAAATAATTATGATAGATCCAAAACAAAGGCTTCTTCCCCGGTCACTCTTAAGCAAAGAGGTTACCTCTTAGTTTACAGTCACCGGCTTGACCCTTTTTCCATCCATCTCTGTTTATGGAGAAGATTATCACCAATAGACAGATCCATTTTTTTCTTTTCTTTTCTTTTTTTTTTGGTGCTTAATAAATGTTTATTGAATTGAACATACTGGTCGCAGTGGAAGTAAGTCCCCTCGCCTCTCTCCTCAGTTTTCTCCTCTGTAAAATGGCATTGGACTGGATGGCCTCAGAGGCCCCATCTAGCTCTGAATCTCTGACCCTACAATTCTGTGCTGGTCACTCCCCCAGCCCCGTCTTCTTGGACTCTTTCTACTGCAGATGTTGTTGGTTTCTCTGCAGATGTGACCTCCATGTAGGTGCTAGGTAAGGCTCTTTCCAGAGCAGTCCATTCCAACAGTGCCTGCTTTGCCTCCTTGCCCCATAATTGGCGCCTGGTCCCGGGACCTCTGGAGAAGAATGAGCATGGCCGAGGGGCAAAGTGGGGTTGGAATTGTCTCTGAGCTCCAGCTGAACCAGAGGGGCAAGGATTAGAGAAAGCTGCTAATGACCAGATCCATTTTTTTTTTTCAAGGAAAGTTCTATACATTTGAAAATATCAGAAAATGTAAAAGGGTGAAAGAGCTCTTTGTTGGGAGCAAGATGAGTTCTCACCTCAAACTAAGAGAGAAGTCCCAGTCTCACTCAAGGTGAAAACCTTACATCTCTAGTTAACAAACATTTATTAAACACAAACTATGTGCCAGACATTGTGCTAAGTTCCTAGGATACCAAGAAAGGGAAAAACCATCCTTCCTCTCAAGGAGCTCATAGTCTAGTGAGGAGGATACTCAACGGTCTGGATCCATTCATCTCTCCAAGAAATGTGTCTTTTCTCAAAAAGCTCTCCCATCAACTCCACCTGTCATACCGGCACATTGTGTTGCCATCAGCGATCCCTTCCACCAAATATATCTCCTGCATGTACACCAGCAGACAAAATAGCTGAGGAGGAGAAACTCAGTTTATACTTCATTATCGTAAAATTGTAGAATTTAAGAATGAGAAAGGAACCTAGTAATAAGCACCTGAGATAAGTTGGCTTTGAAATAAATGTGTGTTGCAGCTCAGTTTTTATATAGGTAGGTAGTTATGGCTTTTTAATATGAACTAGCTCAAAGTAGTGAAAGCAAACAGCAGTGCCCCTGTAGACACACTGAAGCACAATACCAGACTTTGTGGCATAGCTGTAGACTGTCTGGAGATCATCTCTTTTAGATTATCAAACTAATGTGCCATGCTTGATTGGTTTTATCAGAAATAGAATAGATAGTAAAGGCATTGGACAGTGTGTAAAGTGAGTAGATAATAATCAAAATGCCAGTGGGTCCTGTAAGCTGTGGAAAAACCAAGGGATAGTCTTCAAATCAGATCAACCCAAAAAAATTTGTTGAGTGCCTGCTGTGATCAGAGAGCATTGTGCTAGGCACTGGATGGAGTACCGAGTTAGGTAAGACATAGTCTTTGGCTTCACTGAGCTCACTGCCTAGCAGAAAGGTATTACAGGTGCATAAATTATCATAATACAAAAATTTAAATAAAGTACTCCTTAAGATCTAAAAGGGGAAAAGTCACTATTGAATGACAATATTCAGCAAGTTTTCCTAACAGAAGTGTCATTTGAGATCTAACCTAGGTAAAACAATTTGCTAACCTTAAAGTGTTATATAAATTTTAACTTAATATTATTTGAGTTGAACTTTAAAGGCATTGAGAGGATATAAGGGGCAGTGTTATATTAGGCTTAAGGATCTGTGAGCAACAGTATAGGTGAGAAAGTGTGGGACATGTATAAGGGATGGGAAGTAACTCAGTTTGTCTGGAGTAGAGATTGCTTAGAGGAGAAACATATGGGATAGGCTGGACCAGAGTAGTGCCAGTTTGTCAAACACCTTGAATGTTTTCTTATCTTTAAGATGACAGAATGGACCAAGTGCCTCTGAAGCTTGTAAGGTTTATGATCTTACAAACCTATGATCAATGATTTACAAATTTATAGTATATCTATATTGCCAGAGTTCAGAGAAGCAGACTTCCAATTTGTTCTATTTAGATTTCTCAAGAAACAAAGGCTAATTCTAAACTCTTTAATTATCTTTATTCTAAAAAAATGGCAGGTTTCGTATCAAGACCAGGAAAGAGAATATGAACAGTTATATTACGGAATGTTAACTGAAATCTGTTTCCTATATTTATTGAAATTAAATATGTATGGAAATATATTTTGCATGAATTCACATATGTAATTGATATCATATTGCTTGCCTTCTCAAGGGGTGAGGGAGTGAAGGACTTTGGAATTCAAAATTTTAAAAAATGAATGCTAAAAAAAGGTGTTAAATGTAATTGGGAAATGTTTCATGAGATAAATAAAAGTATGTTTTAAAAAATATATTATCTTTAAAATGTTTAATCTCTTTTGTGCCATTGAAGAGAGTATTTCACTAGGTTGTGATATATGGTAAACATTTATCGTGATAACAAAATAAGTGATAAATTAAATATGTGTTGGAAATTTTAGCAGTTTGATTTTAAATACAGTTCATGCTGGCCTTCTGATTTCAAAACAATGTTTATAAGTGTTTTAATAATATAAAATCTAAAAGGAAGGCCTGACTTAAATGTTAGATATTCTTAAGTTACTTTTTTTTTTATTAGAAATTACTTATCCATTTGTTAAATTAGAATGGCCATGTGAAGAAAAATTATCACATTATCACAAAATCAAGAGAGGTGTCAGCCACATACTATTACAAATCATTATCTCTGACTTGCCAGTTGAAAACATCCATATTTTTAAGTCTGAGATATAGAAACAATTTCTATTCATCGCCTACTTTCTATCTACAACTAAACAAATTACTATTATAATAAAAAAGACCTATGAATATCTGATTTTGAAGGTCAAAACGTATTTCAGCTTTAATAATTGTGAGCAATAATTATAAGAGAGTTTTAAATTTCATATTTTTTGAGTTACTGTTTTTCTTACACATGGGGTGGCTTGGATTTGCTATTATTTTTGTACAGAAAAACTGAAAGTAGATTAGAATAACATATGTGACAAGCAACATTGAAAACAACTCACCAAATATGGACAATTAATATTGGATTGACAGAGTAGTTTGATTCAAATTATAATAGTAGGTTAGGACGAAGATTAATTCTACTTATCGATATTTAAGGAAATGTGATTTCTAATTTATTGTGCCATGTTGAGCAATGCAGTTTCTGAGTTTAGGAGTTCTTCTTGATGTTCCAGATATGTATAAACCAAAACAAAGTAAAAAAAGTTTTTTTCAACATGTGCAATAAAACAGGTTGCCTTTGGTTTTATTACTGCATAACTCTTATTAATTAATTGTACCACTTAGCTTTTGCTTAATTAAATGAATGGAAGTTTTTTCCTGTTAGTTATTTTTTTATCTGAATCTACAAAAGTCCAATCAAACAAAACCCTAAGCCCATTTCCAAAAATAAAATCTTCTTAAATTAGTTCTACATTGGTATTTTTCCTCAAAGTCAAAATGAATGTAGTATAATTTTGATGTAATTGTTCTTCATGTTTTGTTTTTTTAAATTTTTCCCCCCTGTTCTGAGTGGTACTGTTCTTATTGAAAATTCAAAAATCAGGGGCAGCTAGATGGTGTAATGGATAGAGCACCAGACCCTGGGCAAGTCACTTAACACTGATTGCCTTCCCGTCCCCCCCCCCCCCCCCCCCCCCCGGCAAAAAAAAAAAAAGAAAATTCAAAAAGCTTTTAAATATGTAAAATACTAAGCTTAAGTAATTATCAGATGAAATTATTCAATAAGGAGAGCAAATACAAACTAAAGCTAAAAAGCTTTTATTATTTAATTTAAAAATATATTCTGACATTCCAGGTCCATTTCACAATTTGACATAAGCCTGCCTTTCCAACTTTATCTTCCACTACTCACATACTCCACCTTATTTTTTAAAAAAAACAGCAAGCATCTCTTTTTCTCTCCGCCCCACCATTAAAATATCTATCTATCTATCTATACATATATATATTATATATACATAATATGTGTGTATATGTGTGTATATATTTTATATATATATATACACACACATACGTATATATATGTGTGTGTGTATATATATGTGTGTGTGTATGTGTGTGTGTGTGTGTATATATATATATATACACACATACATACACACACACATATATATATAGGCCTTGTAAGAAATATCTCTCCCTCTACTTTAACAAGACTGGTCTATTTGTTGTTATACTAATATCCCAGGTATATTTATACCTTATCTTTAATGTTGTTGTTTTTTTTCCCTACCTAGAATAATGCCCTATTCCCTCCTTTCCTCTCATCTTTCCTTTTCAGCTATCCAGATTCTGCCCATCCATTAGGGTTCATTTCAAATGTTACCTCCTTCATGAAACATTCTTATGAGTATTACAACCTGAAGTAATTTCTGCCTCCTCAGAACTCCTAGAGTACTTTCTGTTGTTATTAATCTTTAGATACTTTGTCCTATACCATCTTTTGACAGTTATTGTATTGTTGTCTTACATCATGAGCTTTTTGTATAAATATGCCCATCTTCCCACCTATTTAATAGGTTCAACAAATTCGAATGATTGCATATAAAATTGTGAATGTATGTATTGAATTTAACACAATAGTAATACAGCTGTCCTGTTTATCTATATCCCTTTCTGAACTTACTGCTACTCTTTTTTAAAATGTATTTTAATCTTTCATTGTTATTGTTTTAT